CACACACACACACACACAAAAAAAAAAAAAAAAAAAAAAAAAAAAAAAAAAAACTTTAGGGTGCACTGGCGTTTTTGGGCCTGACTTTTTTGTAAATATGTTAAGGGTGCACATTGCACACCTTTCTTTTTGTCCTTTTCATGTTTGGCGTGTGTTGGAGCGAGGCCCTTTTCTGCTTCCTCTCTCTGTAGATGTTGCCCTATACATAAAAGCTTAGATCCATGTCTTTTTCTCCACCTTTCTTTTCGATTTACCTCTTTGTGGTGTCCTTTTTTTTGTTTTTGTTTTTCCTTGAAAGGTTAGCGGCCTTGAGATGTGATCATTGAACTGACCGGTCTGTATTTCAACAATTCATGGGTGCACGCACAACTCTTTCTCATTTCCTGTTTTTCTTGCTGTCTTTCTCTTCACATTCTCTGATCCAATACGAACTGCAACAAGTGGCGACATCGCTATTGCATGCTGCTCAGCATCCTTTAGTTGCCTTAAATTCATCCGATATGCACTAGTACAAATTTTCATCATATTACTTTTCTGCAAGGAAAATGAGCGATAGCGAAATGACAGAATTGCAGAATGCAAAATCATATTGAAAGCCAGAAAGTCGAATGCTGTCCAGAAAGCAGATATGCACTCATATTCCACCAACGGAGAACCAAAGCATCGAATCCAAATGTCAATGAGAGCATACTCTCGCCACCACCAATGTATGTACCCAGAGCCCTTCTTTGTACAGCCTACGAATTGACAATGCAACCTGTTGCCATCAGCAGCAGCAACCGAAGTACATGAAGATGTTGAACCTGTGGACCTTCGCCAAGACCAGGTGCGTGCCCTCACATCAGCATCTTCATCTCTCGCTCTCTCTCTCTCCCTCGTCCTCTTCACCCACGTCTTCTTCCTCATACACGAAGACCGCCACCACCTCCGCCGGCTGTCCAAGCCGAGCCTGGCTATGGATGGGCTGGCTAGGGCGCTGCCCTCAGCAGCGCCCTTCTTCCTCTCTCGTGCGCACACGCGAACGGACACCTTCTCTAGCACCAGCAAGCAGCCCGCGAGCGCACACTCCGGCAGCGCTGCTGTTTGCACAGCAAGTGCCCGAATGCCCTCTTCGCTGCCCGACCTTTTCCTATATGGAAAGTGGCGGGCTTGTTGCCACTGGCTTGCCCCGTGAGACCGAGTTTCCAGTAGCTTCAGTCTCGGCCAAAGTGTCTGCGCCCAGGCCCGTTCAGACAGTGGCCTGGGACCGAATTGGTTAGGCAAGCCCAACCACCCAGGCACAAATGTGCGGTGTTCCCTGCTTTCACCACGTTGCTGGAAGAGCCTGGAAGGCTCACAAGTATTTCAGATTCTCATGAGCAAGGGGGATGTAACCAACTGGCATGTGGCAACTGTCTGGCGCCCGACAAGATTTGCAAAATTTGACAAATTCAGGGCTCATTCAGATTCGGGGGCCCGCCTTCACTTAGGGCGGGCACGCGTTTGCTTCACTAATGCCGGTATGCCGAGGGGTAAAATCCTCGCACTCCCGCCTCCTTTACTTCGATAGTCCCCTGAGAAGTCCTTATACAGCAGGTTGCTTTCCTTTCAAATTTCTTTCATAACTTGATATAATATGGGGAGCAGTCTTCATTAACTCTTCTCTTGTGAACCACCGGTCTTCTTTAGGATCAGTATGATGTCTGAACTGCACTCGATACTGCATCTGCGGTTGCGGAGGGCGTCCCCTGCCTGGAGTCTTGGGCAGAGGCAGCAGCTTGTGCTCAACAATGTCATCAATGTCCACACGTCCGTCCATGGCCGGGGCCAGCATTGATCGCCAGGAGGGACACAGATTGGTTTCTGCGAAAGGTGCCAGTTTGGATGCATGAAAAATAGGGTGTGTGCGGAGGTGACCAGGGATGCGAATGGCATATGATCGACCATCTGGTGGATCTCCTACTATGTCAAGAACTTCCTAGGGTCTGAAGTACTGTGGCATTAGTTTCCTAGATATCCCCAATTCCTGACCCAGTTTCGATGATTTAACCCATACTCTGTCCCCTACCTGAAAGGAGGATGGGCGTCTGTGCCTATTCTCAGATGCCACCATGGCATCCTGAGCCTTCTTGGTATGCTCTACAACCTGTTGCGGCAGCTGCTCATATGTGACAACACATTCTATGCTGCCTGGCGCTGCAGTGGGCTGGTTCTCGGGCAAAAGAAAGTGATAAGTAGATCTGGGCTTCCAACCAAGATGTAACTGGTTGGGAGTCATGTCAGTAGTGTTGTGCACAACATTGTTGTACAGATTGGCGATGAGAGGTAACTTCTCGTCGCAGTCATCCTGGCTTGGCTTGATATAATGCTGAAGCAGGTGTTGCACTACCCGGTTCATCTGTTCCGCTTGGCCATTTGACTCAGGGTGATTCCCTGATGTTATTTGCAGCTGGGTGCCCATCCGCTGGGCTGTGGTTTGCCACAGTTCGCTAGTAAATCTGCCATCCCGGTCACTAACGATGGACTTCGACAGATCGAAATCACGTACCCTGTTGTCCATGAACAACTTGATGATGTGGTCAGTCCTAGGCATAGCGATTAGTCTGGCATACTTACTAAACCTGTCCACAATGACGAAGATGTGACGTTCACCGCTCTTGCTGGTTACAAGAGTATCCATGAAGTCCATGGACACACTTTGACCAGGACCAGCAGGGATTGGCAAAGGCTTGATAAGCTCAAGCAGTGCCTGCGTCTGTGGCTTGTCCGGTTGACAAACTTGGCAAGTCTCTACATATTTCTTTGCATCATCCATCATTGTGGGCCACCAAAAACGCTGCACTAATTTTGCTGCTGTCTTTTTATAATCGAAATGTCGGGTTGTGTCGTAGCACTCACCTAAAAATAAACTACGCAAAGACTCTGTAGGTGGAATACATAACCGTTTATTCCCAGCCTTCTGAAGGAACAGCAAGCCATCTACGAACACAAACTCGTCTGATGTGGCCTTATCTTTCGCCTCAAATGAGCGCATGATCTCAGTCATGATTGGGTCCTCTCGGTAGGCATCCACCATAAATCGAGTTACATTGTCAGCTATCCCAAACTCCGTCACTAGCGGGCCTACATAGTCTGCCATGCGTGATAGTGCATCAACCACCTTGTTGTATTCTCTCTTTAGAGGGTCGAGCTTGAAGTCATACTTATCTATGACTTCAATCCACCTCTTGAGTGCACTGGAGAGCACAAGCTGTGTCTTAATCCAGCGTAGCATCTCATGGTTAGTTCTCACATGAAGAATCTGCTTAGGAGGTAATGCCTCCAGTGGACCAACGCTCTATAGAAGGCATAGAGCTCTCGCCCATACGTAGACTTAGTTAGTTCTTAAGGTGGCTTATTTTTGCTCATGTACTCGATCGACCTCAACTTTTTCTCGCCTTTCTGCGCAAGGACCGCGCCTATGCCGTATTGGTTGGTGCCTGTGGTCACAACGAAAGGCAACTCATGATCTTGAAGTTTGAGGATTTCATAGTGTGTGAGGGCATACTTCAATCTCTTGAAGGCTTCATCACACTCATCAATCCATTCCCGTGGGTTGTGAAGGTGTGTGAGGTCAGTTAGCAGGGAAGCTATAGTACTACAATTTTTTCACGAATGGGCGATAGTATCCCGTCATCCCCAAGAATGATCTCAGGTCTGGGTTAGTCACGTATGCTGACCACTTTTGCATCATCTAGCCTCAAACCATCCGCTGAAATTTCATGACCCAGGTACAAGATCTTGGTGCGACCAAGCTCGCATTTTTCGAAGTTTACCTTTTACTGGTGCTGTCTTAGGAGCCCTAGCACCCTCTTCACATCCTTAGCGTGCTCCTCTATAGTCTTACTAAAGATAAGGATGTTGTCGGGGTACACGACGATTAAACTTGTCTAAGTAGTCATGAAAAATCTGGTTCATCACGTGCTGGAACGTCCCAGAAGTATTGCAAAGACCAAAGGGCATCACCACAAACTCGTACATAGCGTGCCTGGTTTGGAAAGCGGTTTTGTGTTGATCCTCAGATCTACTGGCAATCATATGGTATCTGAACTTCAAATCTATCTTGGTGAAGTACCGACATCCCTGCACTCTATCCAAGAGGTCGTCAATGCGAGGTAGGGGCTCTGCGTTCTTAACAGTGATGGCATTGAGGGCCCTATAGTCAATGCACATCCTTAGGGTCCCCCCTTTCTTTGGGACAAATAAGATTGGTGCACCGTAGGGGGACGTACTTGGTCGGATACAGTCTTTCTCTGTGAGCTCCTTGAGCTAGCGGCGGAGCTGGTCTAACTCCGCAGGAGACGTCCTGTATATCCGCCCTCTAGGTACCTTGCTACCCGAAACGATTTCAATAGCATGGACAACCTCCCTTTCTACCACATCCCTAGGCTCCTCAAAGAGGTCTGGATACTGTGCAACGACTGCTTCTATCTCTAGGGGTGATTTTACGACCTCCCCTTTCTCTGAGACAGACTAGGTACATACCCTCCACGCAATTCTGCTTGTAGTAGTTGTAGAAAGATGATGCGCACATGCAACCGTAGTTCTCCACTAGTCTGCAACCTAATGGTCCTTCTATTTGGCAACTTGTGAATCATCACCTTCGTATCCCAATTGAACTGAGGCTTAGCAACCTCGAGGTAGTGCATTCCTAGCAACATGTCAAATGACAACTCGTCGCTCACTAGGAACGAGATCGTGTGTCTCAGTTACCCTCCTCCATAGGAGAAGGTACAAATTATGTCCTTGACATTGTCTTTAACTATCATAGAGTGCTTGTTGGCTAAGGTAGATGCTACAAACCTGCTAAGCCGCTGCACTTGGTCCCCTAAGTGCAGCCTATCTACACAATCACGCCTAATGAAATTTCACGTAGAACCTATGTTTGCAAAGACTCCAACCTTTCAGCCACCTACATGGATTCTTACCACGAAATGTTCACCCTTTGGACCTTTGTTTAACATCGCCCAGGAGTCTTTAGGGTCTTTCTCTAACCACTCAGTCTCGAACTCCTCTAAGGACTCATACAAATTTATCGAGCAGAGTATTGATTGGTTTGAATTTGTCTGCGGGTCGGTTAAGTGGTCAATAGACTTGGCCATCGACCAAAATGGAGAGGGTGAGGTAATCATTTCAACATGAGTAGAGCGGCTAACACTCCTATTGACTCGAGCTGTTTCCCCGGGAAGTGCTCGCAGAAGCACCACCATAGCTAGAAGGTCCAACTGTCACTATCGAGGACGCTACCTTCCTAGAGAGTTTACTCTTGTACTTGCTCATTGTGTGGCCATACTGGCCACAATTGAGACAGGCACCTCATGCAACACGGTCTCGCCACAACTCATACTGTAGACCAAGCTTCACCCATACGGGTGGTCCATGGTCACCTTGACCCTTGGGATAGCCTAATTTTTGTTTTCCAACCTCTTAAGCCTTTTCTCTTATGGGAGCGACTACTCCACCCTTTGAAGTCTCCCCACTCCCATCTACCTCTGTCTCTTCCCAAAGGTCAGAGAAGTCGTCAATCTCAGTCGCTTGGTCGCATAGTCAACGAACATGAGATTGCTCTTCTTCCTCCAATCCCGAGGAAACTTCTTCTTCCTCCCATCTACTGCTCCCAGTCGGGCACTCTCAAGCCTAGCCTCTTTGTCTAGGGCTTTCTTCCTGAACGAGGCAAAGTTATGCACATCTATGGAGGCCTCATCGACCAACTTATTTTTGACATCTGTGGGCAAACATCGCAAATAAGTTGTCAGGAGTACCTGCGGAACGTACCGCATGTCAGGAACAACGATTGGTCGCTCTACGACATCTGTTACCTCGCGAACTGTCCGGTAGCTCTTCGATTCCAAATTGGCCAGCGAGTCAGTGATCTTCTGAGCCCCTTGAGAGTCATGCCACCTGCTGTAGACCAACTGTACAAACTCCTCCAATGTCCGGGCCTGTGCCCAGCAATCGGAGTTCTGACCATATCCATGCTGCTGTACTAATCCATTCAATCATCTGGTTGCGGATCCTTCTAGGAAGGGTGCAGCGACAATGACCTCTTCCTCCGTCTTTGTGAGCTTGTGCCTTACGTAAGTAGGCACAATCCTCACCCAGATATCTAGGTTCTCGTCCTTCTTCTTGTTGCCAGAGAAGGGTTTAGGACTCAACAAGGGTATCTTGGGTGTCCACTGCATAGAGTGTACAACACCCTATGCCTGCTGCACCGGTTGAGAAACCGGTGGAACAGCGCGCTGCAGCGGTAACTGCTGCATAGGCTGCTGTACGTGCGGCTGCCCTGTAGCGGCGGCCGCTGAATGGGGAAGTGAAGAAGGTACCCGAATCTGCCCGCTACTATCTGCTGCTAAACAACCTGGTGGAGGCATGCCATACAGAGGGGAAAAGGATGGTCCCACCGGTGGCAGCGTCAACAAAGGACCTGCAACCGTAGGGGGAGCTACAGCAACCTGCGGTGGCCTCACCGTTGGTCGAGGCGCCTGCAGTGCAGCCAGAATCTTGTTCTGGCCAGCTACTAGTTCAGCCAACAGTTCCTGCTGCACGGCCTGTGCTTCAGCCACACTCAACAGAGAGTTTCAAAGGGTCCTGACAACAGGGTCAAGTGTTGACTCATCTACAACGTCTAGCCTGCTTAAAGTCTACGGGTAAGTCTTCTATCTCCCTGGTCCGGTCCTTCAACCTCACAGTCTTTGTCACTCATCAGCTACACGTGGTAATACACTCTGCACTGCCGTCTTAACCCGAAAACAAGGTACGTACCTTGTATACGAATACAAGGTACGGGGTACCTTGAGTTCGAATACAAGGTACGTACCTTGTAGAACGGATTTTAGGATGCAACTTTCCTAGGCAAGGAAAAAGTAAAAATAAAAAAATACAGTAAATATTAGTAATAATATCGCGAATCGAACACAATCGACTGCTACCTTGCAGCGTGAAGTGTTTTTTTTTTAAAAAGAATACATTGACTGCAAAGCCTGCTCACGATCCGGCATGCATTCGAACGTTACATGTGTGTGTGTGTGTGTGTGTGTGTGTGTGTGTGTGTGAGAGAGAGAGAGAGAGAGAGAGAGAGAGAGAGAGAGAGAGA